GAGGGCCCCGAGGGCCCCCCAAGGGGCCATGGTCAAGCACGGTGACCAGCCCAGGCTGCCGGGGCCACTGCCTCCTGGCTGTGCGGCCGTCGGGGGCCAAGACCCCGGCCTGCTCGGAAGGCTGGGTGCCCCGGGGGCAGGCTGGGGTCCCCAGCGAGCACAGTGGGTGGCGCAGCCTGCCCTCCATGGGGAACCCCGGCAGAACAGAGGCGCTGGGAACGCCCATTGCTGTTTTGCAAGCGAGGCCAAGGTCGCTTCTCCCAAAATAGCTCCCATCCCAGACGCACGACCTGGGAGAGCCCTTCCCCAAGGGCCGGTGAGCTCTCACGACCCATCTTTCGCAATCTTTCCCCAGAAAGAAAACAGTTTGGGGGCCCAGGAGGTCAGGTTCATGGCCAGCGGCCTCCCCCCTCCACCACCCCTTCCGGCGCACAGGCCCGGCTGGCTGTCCTCCCTCCGGGCCTCTCCTCGTCAGCCCTGCCTCCCTCTGCCCCCCAAAGCAGCCCTCACCCTTAGCCCTGCACCCCGGCCTCCCTGGTCTGTGTGGGCTACCCCACCTCCGCCTCCTGCAGGCCCCAGTCTCCAGGAAGCCTTCTCTCTCCCGGCCCCCCAGGTCCCGCCACCTGCTGGCGGTGCTCCTCAACCCCCACAGCTGGGGTCACCCCTGGCACACCCCGCTCCCCCAGGCACCCAGGCCCATGGGTCCGTCACCTCCGATGGCTCCAGCTATAAAATCCATGGGCCGCGTGGGGGTGGGGGAAGCCCTGAGGTTCTGCCGACTGGGAGCGGCGCGGAGAGCCGTCTGGTGCCACCACTGGGGTGGCCGCCACAGCGCCGGCCGCTCTGCCCAGTCCTTAAATACCGGCATGGGGCCGGGGCAGGGCCAGGCGCCTGCTGACCGGTGGCCCCTGGGAAGCAGGCGTGTCAAGGCCCACACCCCAGCCTGGGCAGCTGGACATCCTCCCACCCCACCCCACCCCCAAGGGACCTTTGTCCCAGTGTCCTGGGGACCCAGGTGTGGAGAAGTGAGAGGTCACTGTCCCCAGTGTCCACAGGGCTGGCCCAGAGTCCCCTGGGGAAGCCCAGAGACGGGCGGGGACTCCCAGCCCTCCGAGCCCAGGCGCGGCCCTCCGAGACCTCGAGGCGCTGGTGTCTCTGGCCCAGAGAACCGCTCACTTACTCGCTCAACAAACACCACCTGAGCCAGGCTGCCCTGGAGCAGTGAGCCCGTCCCTGGAGCTCCACTTGTCAAGCCTGAGACCCAGGCTGCTCCAAGCGCTTCCCCCCCTTTCCTTGCCTTGGGGGGCCCCTCCGTGGAGGGACGAACATAGGGGATCCCAGAGGAGAAACCTTCCGGAAGAGGCCACTCCCACCCTCGGCCGTTGTGAAAAATCAGGTACCCCGACCGTGCCCCCCTGGACAGCTTCCCAGCACTCTCCTGCACAGGCCCCTGGCAGGGAAGTAGAGCGAATGGCCCCCACTTTACAGGTGGAACCTCAGAAGCCCAAAATGGGCCTTGTCCGGGCCTGGCAGGACAGGACCAGCTTTGGCCTCCAGACACCAGCGCAACCAGCCCTCAGGGCACCCCACCTGGCCTTCCGGGTCACCCCCCAGCGGCTCAGCCCCCACAGGCAGCCACGGGCACTGACCCTGGGAGGCAGTGCTCTTGCCAGGGACACGCAAAGCCTGAGTCCCACTGACCGGATCCTGGCAGGGCCTGGGGAGGGGCAGGGTACAGCCTGTGCCCAGCGCCCTCGGCTGGGGCCCAGAGCTGCGCGTCTGCTGTCCTCTCTGGGCAGGCCCAAGGCTGGAACAGGCTGGCCCCGACCGCCCAGCTGTTGAGAGGTAAAAAAGGGAGGGCACAGGTAGGGGCAGCTGCCAGGCAGGGGCAAAGGGCAGGATGTAACCCACCAAGGCTGGTCCCGACGCCCATCCTGGTGTTTAGAGAAATACTGCTCAGTGTCAGGTTGGAGCCAGGCTGCCTGGTTCAAATCTCAGCTCTGCCACACATCCCAGTTCTGTGAGACCTTGGGCAAGGCCCCCTCCTCCCCGACTTCCCCAGGTCTGCGTCCACAAACTGAGCACAGTCCCTGCTCACGTCTGTGGCCATTCAGAGCAAGACCCAGGGACTGTCCCTGCGGTGGTAGTCAGACATACGCTAAGGTTACATTAATAGGAGCAGAGGGTGCGGGAGGAAGGAGGTGATAGGCCTGTTCTGAGCAGGGCAAACATAGGACCGGGGTTCAATTGAAGCTGCTGTGCTCAAGAGGCCCATACCTTGGGTAAAGCGGGTGCTTGAAGCATGATTTCCTGAGAAGGCGAGAAACAGTTTAATCTCGTGTTTGCTGTGCCTGTCCAGCGCCCATCCCTTGGCCCCCGAAACAGGACTCTGGGAGTTGCCCTGGACACCTTCCCTCCTAAGCCCAGGCCCACGGAGGCACCAACCTTCAGCCAAGCCTCCGTCTCACTCTTGTCTGTGTAGCCCAAGGGGCGCTGATCCGCGCAGCCGGGAGCCCCGCCCTGGGAGACGGGCGAGGTTGCCAGCCCCCGCTCCCGTGACCTCCAGCAACACAGCTGGTCTCGGGCCGTCTCCAAGATGCCCGTGCTTTAGCCTTCCCATGGCAGCAACAGAGCCCGCCTCACTGGGCCCCCTGTGCGTCTCTAAACGTCACCCCCAGCGTTAGCCTCTGGTGGCAGGGCTGTGGGGACTCCGCCTGCACCTCAGCGCCCAGCTCAGGCAGGTGCCTGGGAGGCGGGTGAATGCATGGGTGAGGTGGACAGAGGGCCAGCAGATTGGACAGTCAGGAGGGCAGGTGGGCTACAAGGGTGGATGGGTGGTGGACAGATGGGTAGAGAGGGGCAGGAGTGGAAAGCCAGACAGGTGGACGGGCGGACGAACACACGGATGTGAATGAAGGCAGACCCGCGCGGGGTCACCTGCACACACTGGCACAGGCCCTGGCTGAGCAGGCAGTGGGCAGCCCGGGGTGGGGGGGGGCTCAGGCTGGGCCCGCCCCGCCTGACAGCTCAGGGCTCTGAGCTGTGTGGCCTTGGGCCAGTGGTGTGACCTCTCTCATTTCTCCAACAAGCAACATGGGATTTTCCATGCAAGATAGCAGGGGGTGGGGGAGGGGGTTGTGGGGGGGGCATCTCTCAAGGGAAGTTTCCCTCACTAGTAGTGAGTTCAAGTTCCTCTGCCAACAGTCAGGGCCCACAGGGTGAGCCCCACTCAGCCTGCAGGAGGAAGCCAGGCCTCTCTGCGGAGACAGGCAGAGGGGGTGCACCCTAGGGGGCACAGGGACTTTCTGGCTGAGGATTCTCAGGGGGCGCCCTAAAATGCATTTCTGCACTTGATAACAAACAGGATAATTAAAGGCACTAGAAAATCAATCCAGACCAGAGGCTACAGAGGCCCAGGAAGTGGGAGCTTCACCCACTGCCTGCAGGGGCCCTGCCTTCAGCAAATTCAGGGGAAGCAGTTTCCATACGGCTGTTTGCTTCCTTCCATATCTGGGTCCGGTGCCTGCTCCCCACCCCCCACCCCCAGTGCTGTGTGTGGCCACTGGGGAAAGGGAAGCCCAGCTTGCCACCTGGGAGGCCCAGGGCCTGCTGCGCAGTCCCAGCCGAGCCTGGCAGCAGGGGGCGCTCTAAGCCTCACTCCAGGGCTCCTGCCTGGCCTTGCCTCTGGGCCGTCCCCGCGGCAGGCGCTGGAGAAGCAGGGCTGGGTATTTCGCGGGGTTACACCAACCGGGAGGGCCCAGATGCTCAAGCCCTGCTCACCGAGCACACCTGGTGTTTGGGCGGGGCTGGAGGGCGCTGGGGGGCCGCCAGAGCTCAGCAGCCTGCATTTCCGATGCTCGAGGGCAAGTCTGGACAGGGCCAGCAGAGCCCAGGGCTTCCCCCTCCCCACCTCTCTGGCCAGGCACAGGAGCCCAGGCCTAGTCTCTTCTGTAAACTGGACTGAGGTGTGGGGGCCAGACCTGGCCATGCCAGGAGGTAGCAGGGAGGTGTCCCTGGCTCAGGGGGGGTGATTCCCCACCGCGATCTCCTAGGAGCCTAGGCCCCTCTGATGTGTAAGGACCCCATGGCCTGGGTACCCAGGGCCTGTGTGCCCCAGCAAGTGACATGGCTCTGTCCCCCCCCAAAAGGGGCTTCCCCACAGCCCCAGCTCAGCTCAGCACAGCCTCAGGTCCAGCCTGCCAAGAGCCCCCAAACCCCAGGTGATACTGGGCCCCCCCAAATAAAATCAGTGAGAACTGGGAAAGAACTGAAACTGGAGCCAGAGTCACAACGGGAATGGTGCCCATTAGGGACCCCACCAGTGCCGGAGGGAGAAGAACCCCACTGCACAGTGGATGAGGACGGAAGTGGGTGTGCCAGTGTGGTGGGGGTGGGTGCCCTGGGCCCAAACTTGCACACTTTAAGAAAGTTGTGCTACCAGGCCCTCCGTGGTGGCACAACGTGTTGGGGCACAGCACTGTGCGGCCGGCTGTGGCCATCTCAGGAGCTCGAGCCCAGCCCCGGAGGGGACCACAGGCAAGCAGACCTCTCTGCAGCCCCCCCCCCCCGCTCCCCTCAGCAGTGGTCTTCGTTGAGCTGTCTGTTCTGCTCCCCGCTGTCTCTGGGGAGTCCTCTCTCTGGCCTGAACCCCAGATCTGTGTGCATAAAAAAAAAAAAAAATCCTGCCATCTACCACAAAGACAGCGCAGACTCAGTGTGGAGGGTTCAGTAGGAATGTGCTCGGAGACGGAGAAAGGGCGGAAATAGTTTTCCAACACCCAAAGTCGCCCGACCCCTCATGGGTAAATGTCCAGCCACACAGGGGTGGACCGACACAGGCCACCGAGGCCTGGAAGCTGCTCCCCTCTAAGGCATTAAAAGGGATAGAAAGTCCAGGCGAGTCTGGAAGAATCCAAGTCAAGACAGAGGCCGCTGCCGGCCTCCCCCGTCTGTTGCTCCTTTCAAGGTCCCTCCCAGGGCGCCGGCCCCCGGCGCAAGGCCAAGGCCGAGAAGCCAGCATGGCTGCTCCTTCGCGGTCTCCCCGGCTCCCCTAAACTCTGTCCAGAGCCTTTTCCAGCCCCCCTCTCCACATGGCTCCCCCTCCCGTGAGGTGGGGAACCCGGAACCTCCTTTCACTGGAGGGTCCTTTGCAGCAGGTGTGGCCACTTGGGAAAGTGGTATGAGGGGACATTGAACTGCACACGGGGCTTCCTGGTGGTGCCAGGCTGTCTCAGCACCAAGCTATGGGCATATGGGCAGCCTCCCAGCCTGAGTGGGCTCCCTGGCCAGGGAGTGACCATAGGGCGCAGCAGGCCTCTCCTGTCTCCCCACTGCTCCCTCAGCAGCAGATCTGCCTGTCCTGCTCCCCACTGTCTCTGGTGAACTCCATGCCCCCTTACCTCTGGCCTGTGCCCCAGCTCTCATGCGCAGAAATATTTTTAATTAAATAAAATAAACATTTATTTATGCATACAGGAACTGGGGTACAGACCAGAGGCGCAGGGGGTGAGAGGGCTCACCAGAGAGGGGAAGCAAAGGGGGACAGGAGAGGCCTGCTGCACCCTGTGGTCACGCCCTGGCGGGTGCTGACGGCTTGATGGTGCTGAGACTCAACCCTGTGTGTCAGCAGGGAGGCCCCCAAGTAAATCTTCTAAAGCCACAGTGGAAATTGCACAGCTCAGTGGCCTGCATGCACCCCCAACTCAAAACCGGGCCTGCAGCATCACTGCAGCAGTGTCCCCAGAGGCGGGGCGGCCTGACACCCTCTGCAGGGGACTGGGCCACCCACCCACAGCTATCAACGGCCACGAGCGTCACTGACCACGGCACGGAGGCTGCTCCAGAACGGCGCTGACGAGCCCGAGGGAC